AAGCAGAATAGACCCACACCTTCTGGGCTATGCCTTTAAGCCTTTGCTTTGGGCATAAGAAAGAACACAATGGCTCTGGGTATTGGCCCGTGCTCACATGATCCAAGATTTGATGGGAAAACAAGCCCAGAGGATAGAAGATAGTAGAAGGACGTGTTAGGGCTTCTGACTGGAAGAGAGAAAGGTTTTTGTTGTTTTGTTGTGGTTTGTTCGCTTTTGTTTATTTGAAACCCCAGAATGAGGAAGATTCTACAATGGCCTTGGAGGCAACCCAGCATGAGAACATCTGCTCAAACAAAGGCAAGGAAAGAGAGACAGGCCTAGCTGTGTATAGAGGATTGATGAGAAAGAGGAGAGGCCTCCAGAGGTGCCTGAGAGTCGACTGAAGTTGTTCCTGACCAAGAGTGTTCTAAAGAACTATTTACAGTGGTCCCCTTGGAGAAATGAAGGGAGGAGTCTTGTTATTTAAATAAACATTTAAAAAATTTACATTGTTTGGTTGATTGGTGTGTGTGTGTGTGTGTGTGTGTGTGTGTGTGTGTGTGTGCACGCGGGTGCGCGTGCACACATGTGGGCACATGTATGATAGCACACGTGTGGAGATCAGAGGACAACTAGCAGGAATTGGTTCTCTTGTCCCACATGTGGGTTACAGGTGACAGCTAAGGTTGTCAGGCTTTGTACCAAGTGCCTTTATCTTCTGAGCTATCTTACCCCCAGCTCCCAATCCAACACTTTTAGACAGTATTTTCATTTACTTTTAAAAATATTTTTATTTTATGAACATTTTCTGCATGTATACACTACATATTGCTTCTATCTGTCCAACACTACCTTCCTCCAACTCCTCCTACCCTGCCACCCTCTCCCTCCAAACTTCATGTCTTCTTTTATAGTTGTCTTAATAACCTGCTGAGTCCAGTTAGTGCTGTCCATATGCATGTGAGTGTGTGACCATTCACTGGAGCATGGGCCACCTACCAATGGCCATGTCTTCAAACAAGTGTGACTCTCACCCCCTTAGCAGCTATCCACTGCCAATAGAGCGCTTTATGTAAGGGTGGGTCCTCATGGCCCCTTCCCGCCTCCATACTGGAGTCTTGGCTGCTTGATCTTGTGGATGGTCTTATGTAAGTGTCAACAGCTTCTGTGGGTTGATGTGTACAGAAAGCATGTCATATCCAGAAGTCTGCATGTCACAACTTTCTTCCCCATCCTTTCTTCCCACCCTTCTGTGAAGTTTCCTGAGTCTTGGATGGTGGGAGGTTGTTATAGACGACCCATCCATAGGTGAACACTCACAGTTACTCATACTTGGTGCCTTGAGCAGTTCTGAGTTGCATGCGTTAACCCATGCCAAATGAAGCTCTGTGACCAAAGTTGAGAGCAGCAGAAATCTATGAGAATAAACATAAATACTTAGAATGCAGCTTGACAGCACAATCATTTAGCAAGACTTGTGATTTTTCATGGGCTCTTAAACAGGTACACACAGTACTAACCATAAAATTCCTCCTATGGGGCTGGGCTCACATCATAAGACAGTTGTTTTACCCAGGAACCCAGACCCACAACCTACAAAGCACTTTGCGTTAGTATGTAAATTAGTCAGCAGGGAGGGTTTCCTGATCAGTTTGAGGTTGATTTCTCTGTCTGGCTTCTACAGTGAACATGTCTTGAGCAGTATGATCTTACCATGTAGTTGTGGTGGACAAACAAGAGGAATGGCAATAGCCTGTGTTGTTTTGGAGGCCTTTGGGACCTTCCTGACCAAGAATTCATAGAGAGGTAGCCCATGCTTGGCACTGAGATTTTCATTTAATAACTCATATGTTGCATTCAAACTCTTTTAACAAATGCATATTAGGGCTTTTTCATGGATTCGTGGTTTGACTAACCCATTCCCTATGCTCTCCCCTCCCCAATCCCCCTTTCTCCACTCATGGTGTTTCTCCTGTCTCCTTTCATGACACTTGTGTTCTCTACACTAATTGAATTTTTTGCTTGTTATAAGATTGTAGGTTTCCATATTTCCTTTCTTCATGCCCCCTTCATTTTGGTTAAGCCCTCAGCCAGTGCCTCATTCCTGCATCCTCCTGTCCCCTCCACACTTGAACCTCTTACTTTCATCTTACCTGTATTTCACTATTCCCTCTTCCTTGAAGCAGCTACTCATATTTAGTAGTCTATTTCTTGTTTCTTGGCTTCCACCTCTAGTACTGCAGGTCAAACACACAAAACAAAAAGATTCAAAGCTGGGATCTGCATATGAGAGAGAACATGTGATTGTTGGCTTTATGGCCTAGGTGAGACCTCACTCAAAGTAATTAGTCAGTGCTATTTTTAGATATTTTCCTAGTCTGTTTTGTGTTGCTATAACTGAAAGACATAGAGTAGGTAATTTATAAAGTGTTAAGGTTTGCTCTGCCTACAGTTATGAAGGCTGGAAGGCCAAGGTTGGAGGGCCATAATTAATGATGGCCTTCTTGTTGCTGGGGACTTTGCAGAACCCCAAGGTTGTGTAAAGATCACATGGTGAGGCAGCGGCCACCTGGGATCTCTTCTTGTACAAAGCCGCTAATCCCGTTATGAAGGCCCTATCCTTCTAACCTTGAGTACTCCTGACTACTTTCAGTATTTTTACCACATGGCTTTGAACATGGGTCTGGGTGGGGATAAACACTCCAAAGATAGGAAACATAGAAGATTATATTAGTGTTAGAAATGGGGTCCACTGCAGAGCCCCGAGGCTGCATTTTCAGCAGCCACACTCTCAGAAGCTCCCACAAGGAGTATCCCACTTTTTGACACTGGCACAAGTTGTATACAAAATGCAGGATTGAGATCTACACAGCTGAGTTACAGAAAAAAAATCCCCAAAATAAATCTCATAATGTGTTGAGCAAGTTTATAGTTTTGTGCTGGGTTAGATTCACAGCTACCCTGGAGTGTATGCAGCCCTGTGGGCTGTGAGTTCAATGAGTGGGACGAATGCTGGGCGGAAGGTCTGTTCACATCTCAGATGTTCTGGCCCTGCAGTTGTCATCCTTATGAGCACCTGGAGGTGCAGATGGCCACTCCTTTCTGAAATGACTTCTGGTTTCTGAATCATAAGCTGAAACACCTCTATGGGCCAAGCTGAGGTCATGGCCTGGTGAACTGAGGCCCGGGGCCCCATGGCCATCTGGGGAGCATGAGACTGCAATAGTTGACCCAGGGCTTGGAATACTGAGCTGTCTAATCTTCCTAGAGTAGCTGAAAACTTGGGCTTATGAGGGAAATATATTGATTGTTAAATGCTGGGAAAGTGTTCAGACTTTCTAGAAGTTCCAAATAAAATATGCCTGCAGGCCAGAAAAGCTGCTGCTTGGAGGCCTTGCCTAAGACAGTATTTTTTGCTGGGGAATGGTTTTAGCTGCCCAGAGCCATTTGGCAATGTCTAGAAACGATTGTGGTGGTTAAAACTTCAGGAAGGTCAGGCAGACTGCCTATCATCCCGTCATCCATTCATAAGAATGTGTTTCAGACAAAGAAAAGGAAGTTCAGCCAGGGTTAGCTTTAGAGGAGAAAGAGTCTGGGAACACCTGCTTTATAGTGGCTGGCCCTCGTGACTGGCTGCCCTCAGTTTACTGTCAGTTTGTCAGAAAGGCAAGTCTGGGATGGTTAGGCCTTCTTGGCTCAACCTTGTATGTGAAGGAAATGCCTTCCATCAATGTCCTTTGTAGGCACGAAAATAATGCAAAAAAATTTAGCCAGCAAGGCCCAATATGTTGTCACTTGAGTCCCCAAGGTTTGGGTGTAGTACCCTATTGAAGATTGTCTTGGTTTTGGCCTCCTGTCCCTGGTGGAATGTTTGGTTTGGGCTCTTTACTCAGTAGTATTTGGAACTGTAATTGGGGATATTTTCCTTCCCTAACCAGCTCCAGCTAAAAACAATAATAATAACAACAATAATAAAGACACTTCGGGGGCTGCCTGCCAAGCATTAACTTTGTGGTTGTTCCCGGGAGGTTCCCGGGGGTCGATGAGCTGAGACTCAGGAGGTCCCATGTGGTGGCCTACAGTTCTCTTGAGGAAATACAAAAACATGCCTCCAGCCCCACACCATAGTCCATGCTCTATGCACATACCTTTTCCTGATGTACAGCTGTGAGCATCCTATTCTTCCCTTCAAAAGCCTTCAGTGGTTCTCAGTTCTGCTCTGAATGAAGTTAGATCCTTACCAGCCTCTGTGATATGACCACAGCCTAGGCAAAAAAGGCAGCTTTAGAGGCTTGGGCCTATATATAGCAAGGATGTCTTATTCTAGGAATTGGTAATGGAAGTTGAGGCTGTGTACATTAGGATGCTTTAGCTACTGTAGCAGGAGAATGTAAATGAACATGTTTTAAGCCACAGAAGTAGATGGAGACTAGAGGCTGCCTCTTAGTTTTGGGATCAATTAGTGCTCAGATAGTAATGAAAGGAGACAGGTTTTCTCTGCCTTCCTATGCTTGCTGATACCAACTGGTCTACGTGGAGTGTTGCTTGCACTTGTAGAAGAATTAAAAATTTCACCTATATCATGCAAATCCCACTTCTCTGTCTAGTTAAGTCAGCTCAGGACTATATCAGCACAAAGAGCAATCTGCCATGTGGAGTTAGAATGAAGTTCCCTGGAAGAACTGGGCTGGAAGGACAAAGGCAGACCATCTGCATGGTTCTACTAGGAGTAGGTAGAGTAGAGATGGGTGATGGGAGGGAACTCCCAGTTCCTGCTACAAAGTATAAAGGATAGGGCAGGTTGAAGGTAGGACATGGTGACAGGCTGAATTCAGGAGAAGGGATAACAAAAAGTCTATGAGGTAACTCTCAAGTTTCATCTTGACAGCCTTGGAAGATGTTATCCCCTGCTTCAAATTCAAGGGGTTGGGAGTATGTATGTTTCTTTTGGGTAATTTGAGTTTGAAGGGACAACCAGACCATCTTTGCAAGCTGACATTTGTTCTTCCATATTCCAGAGCAAAGAGATTGGCCTACAGATGCACGAGGAGCTGCTGAAGGTCACCAATGAGCTCTACACAGTAAGTTCTCTCCAGGACCATTGCTATTTGTTCGGGTCTCTTGTCTGCAGCACCCATGTCTGGAGGGAGGCAGGGAAGAATTTGGAGTGATAGTGGGTCATCATGAAGTCATATAATGACTCATGACCCCAACTCCTGATTCCTTACGTTTGGAATGGGTCCTGGGCATGTTTAGTAAGTTCAAGTATGTGAGAGAGTAACATGATCTTACAGATACAGGATGTATTACTCATGAGCACAAAGGTCCTGAAGTGGAGGATGGAAGAACACATAGGTGTGAAGTCTCCAGAGGGTGTCAGGCGTCACAAGCTCCAGACAGAGGGCTCTTTAGTGACTGTGATCTTAGACAGGCTTGCAGCTTGCCTAGACCCCTTTGCCATTGTCTGCAGAATGAAACACTGCTCTGGGAATAACTTGGAGTGAAAGAGTAAGCATGCCTGACTGTTGCAGTGGAGAACAGCACAGTTTAGCTCATAGCTGACCTTGCTGCCTGCTTTGGAGCCAAGACATAACCACACTTGAGATGGCTTTAGAACCAAGGCAGGTGGTGGGATAGAGAGTACACTGCCTAGGCTGTAGGGCAAGAATAGACTTCGGTTTCCTTGACAGGAGTGTGGAGAGCCCCATGGATAGCCTTGGGTACAGTGTAGGGTACCCAGCAGGTAAAGTACCATGTAGAACTGTTATATTTTATTTTTCAGGGGTTCCTTATACCAGTCCTGACTTAACGTGTAAATAAGTGCAGGCTGCCCAAAGCCTTTTCTCCTTGTTATTACTAGCTTTCTATATTTAGACCCATGGCAATAGCAATGGGTCTAGGCTGTATTACTGAGAGCCTAGACTCAGGGCCTGTACTTCATGTGGAAGGCCCAATGTATGCCCCAGCAGCTGTGGACATAGGATAAGACTTTTTTTTTTTCCCAAATAGGGAGAGTGTGTTCCAACTTTGCCTCAGATAGATAGATACATATGCCTGTGATCTCATCTACTTAGGAAGCTGAGGCAGGATTACAAGTTAGAGGCTTGCTCAGGCTACAGAGTATGGGCAAAACCTGGGCAATTTAGTGAGACCTTATCCTATAATATATAATATACAATAACATATATATATGTATGTGTATACATATATATAATGTCCTATAACATGTAAAATATAATAATAAAAAAGTAAAGATAGGCCTGGGTGTGTAGCTGAGTAATAGAGCCCTTACCCAGTATGCTCAGGGCCCTCAGTTCACTCCAATACCACAGAGAAAAGAGGCGAAGAGAAGGCAGACACTCTGAAGTCAGAATCTGGGACAAATCTAATGGAAGAACAGTGAAATCCTCCCACAGTCTCTGTAGGGATTGGTTCTTGAAAGCTTCACAGACACAGGGACTCTGTAGATGCTCAGGTCTCTGTATAAAGTGGTGTCATGTCACACATCCTCCTAGGTACTTTAAGCCATCTCTAAATTGCTTACTACAGCCAATACAGTATCAGTACTATGAAGACAGTTGTTATACTGTGTATTTAGTGATGAGAAAAAAGTCTGTTCATGCTTGGAATAGTTGAAACTTTCTTCCCCAAATATTTTCAACCTGCAGTTGGTTGGCTCCATGGATGTGGAAAACACAGCTATAGAGGACCAACTGCATTGAAGGGTACACAAAGCACTGTTGGTAGGAAAGGGTATATAATGTGCCTGAAAGTCTGTGTGTCATTAATCATGACTGCCATTATGTTACCCTCAGTGAATGTGATAGGCTCTCATCTATACTTATGAGAGTGGGTCAGTGATGAATGTATTAAGTTAGTGAATGAATGGATCGTCTAGCTTAGGATTCTGTAGAGACTTTCCCCACACTGGTCATTACAGGCTAGATCTTTCCAATGTGCTTTCAGTTCCTCTATGAGTGGTCTTCACCATAGCTCTAGGCACAGGACCTCACTGTTCCTGCCTGGGCCGCTAGTCTTCCCTCCATCCTCCAGCTTGGAACCTCATTTTGTCCGGCTGTTCTTGTTCACTTTCTGTTCCTGTGATAAAAACAACTTGACCAAAAACAATTTGGGAAGAAAAGGGTTTATTTGGCTTTATGCTTCCAGTTCACAATCCATCATTGTGGGAAGTCAGGGAAGAAACTCAAGGTAGGAACTTGAAATGGAAACTGTAGAGAACTACTGTTTACTGCCTTGTTCTCCAGATTGTTTGCTTGCTCGTGCTCAGCTTGCTTTCTTATATAGCCCAGGCCCACATGCCTAGGGGATGGTGCTACCTACAGTGGGCTGGGCTCTCCTATGTCAACCATCAAGCGAGACACTCTCACAGGAAAACCCACATGGCAATCTGACCAAGGCTTTTCTTCAGTTAAGGTTCCCTCTTCCCAGGTGACTCTAGGCTATGGTCAACTGACAACAAAAGCTGACCAGGAAAACTGATTAAACTCACCCCAATGCCTTCTCCTCTGCTTCTTCATCCCTGTATTTGTCCTCACCTACTGTGGTCTGTGTGCTTTTATCTCTTGTTCATCTGAGTCATTCTCATTTTTCCAGCTAGGCCTAACACTTCCAGGAAGATGCCAACTCTGGACTTTGAGTCCTACTGTGGCCTTATAAAAACCTCTCGTCTTTGTTGTCTGCACCTGTTCCCTTGTTGTAGATGACTTCTCTGGAGTCAGGTCTTGGCTGATGAGTGACACTGCACTAAATACTCAAAGGCCGTGTGGCTCTGACATTACTTCACCTCTAGTTTTGTCTGAAAACTGGGGTTTGTAAACTCAATAGTACCAGGTGGTGTCAGAGATCGAGAGGATAATGCCATCTTGTATCCCTCGTGATACTGGTGCCCTGAACCCAGCAGGTTCTGTGGATATATCTGCCCATTCTGTCCATAGGTTAGGGCAGCAGGACAGAAACACTATTGGCATCAGACATGCACGTAGGTGGCTGGCTCATCCCATGATAAGCCTCATGTTCTGCTCATGATGACCTGCTGCTGGTACTCTAGGAGTTGGTAGAGAGGAAAGGCCCAGTGACTCCCAACTCTCTTCTTTCGCTGTGTGGGAGAAGGGGCCTCAGGTACCAACTATAAATACTCCACATTGCTAACTGTGGCCCCCTGTGTCCTTAGGTCCCACATCAATGAGTCTGAAATACCTGCAAAAACTCACATGCTTAAAGGCTTGTTACAGCTTTATTTGATGACAATATTGGAACGTAGGGAAGGTGGGGACCATTTGCAGAAGGCTGGTCACTGAGGACTAGTTCTTAAAAGGTATCTTGTCTCTGACCCCTTCATGTCTCTCTGCTTCCTGGTTGCTATGAAGTGAGCCACTTTGCTTTGACCCACATTTTTGACCCATGATGCTGTGTCACCACAAGCTTACAACAGAGGAATCAGCTGAGCATGGATTGAAATCTCTGAAACCATGAACCAAAATTTAATCTGTCTTCCTTTAATTTCTCCCCAGCATCGCCACAGTGACAAAAAGCTAACTAATGCACATAGTTTCAACCAACCTTGGCTCAAATTTTTTTTTATAAATATAGTATCTTACTAAACACATGCAGATACCTTGTTATTTCCGAAGCACTAGACACAGTATGAGGCGCATTTATATAGCAAAACATTGTGTTAGCTATGAGGACTCGAAAGTTGATCTGAAGTAGGGAGGGGATATGTGTAGGTTCTTTAAATCACTGCACCATTTTATATAAGGGATTTGAACATCCATGGAATTTGGTATCTGGATGTGTGTGAAGGGATGGTCCTGAAACCATCACCATAGCTACCGAGGGATGACTACAGTTACTTAGAAATGCAGTTTAATCCCTAAATTCAGGGCCTCCCACTGTGCCAGCAGAGACTCTTTGCTGTCTAGGAACTGGGAGCATTTTAGAGTTGTTCTCTATCAGCATCTCCCCCATGCTTGATGCTCCCATGGTGTTGACTGGAGCAAAGGAATGAGGAAGTGGTGCAGAGACAGTGAAGGTCATGGATTTTGCCAAAAGGAGTGTTAGATTTGAGCATACAGACAAGAATAAAGTGCCTGCACTGGTGACGGAACATGAAGCCGAGCGGGCTGCTTGCTCAACTGCTTCTTTAAAAATTAGCCTCCAAACTCAATGGCTTCAAACCTACGATGTTATTTGCTTGTGAGTCTCCGGGTTGGCAATTTGAGCTGGGTTCAATTGTAGCCAGTCATGTGGTGGTGGTTTTCTGGATAATTAAGAAAAGGGAACCCAAACTGAGTGGAGTCCAGTGTACAAACTTCTGCTAGTAACCACTTTTGCTAATAACCAGAGCAAGTTATAGTCAGGCCTCAAGTCACGAAATAGAAAAGTAGACTCCCTGTTTTTCTGCCGTCACATGATAAAGCCATGCCTAAGCAATGTATGGCTCTCCCTCACAGCCACACAGCTTCTGGGAGCATTATGGACTTCCTTGACTTCACTGCTAGAGGTTTCTATTTAACATCTCAGTCACACACCTTCCCAGCTTCCTTTGTTTTCCAGCCCTATTCTCATGGGCATGGATGAGGTAGAGAAGAGCTATACATTCAGCCCCATTCTTTCCCTTCTCAGGGTTCTGTGGAAGAAGTTGTCTGCTTAGAGCCCCTGCTGAGGGTAATGATGATGGCAATAATTCCACTGTCTGTTAGTCAGCCCCTCTCTTCTCTGAGCTCCCATCAGCCCTCCACCCTGTCTTCTTTGATCACATATTGACTTAGAAGAAAAGAAGAACACAGAGTGAACTTGTGGATCATGGTGCAATCCTCCCAAAGAAACAAAAACAAACCAAAACAACAAACTTCAGCTAAAACTATGTCTAGGTTTTCATTATATTTCTAGGTCATGAGATACCACTGTTGTTTTGGTAACTGATTGGTACCCTGGGAAGGCCTCTTCAGCTTCTCCCTTATGTTCAGTAACTCTGGTTACAGGAGGAACCCTGTTTCTTTGTTGAGAGCAAAATGGAGAGGGCTTGAGGTGTTCACACCAAGCAGCAGCTAGTAACTGG